CACTAAACACGGCACCTGAGGTTATCAAATCTGCACCTCCCCACAGATGGAGTCTGAAACCGCTTGCCATCACCTCTCCCACCATGAGCTTCACTTTGATACTGACCCCTGTAACGACCGGGCACCGGTACCTGCTCCTGCTGAGCCCCATGCGCTGCAAAGCAGGTCGTTAGCTCCCCAGTAATTGTAAATATTGCAAAGCGCTCGAGTCAGCAGTCTTGCTGAATTTTGATTTCAACATCTGCAGCCCAATAAATCTCTGTCTCCTTCAGGTGAACTGTGCTCTCCCCTCGGGCTCCAATTTACGTCCCCCACAGCACCATCACTGCAGCTGCGCTGGCCCTGGGGGTCCCATTACCCCTTGGGGACAGGGAGGGACCTGACGGCCTCCCGGGAGCTGCGGGCAGCCCTGGCCACGCCAGCGCCGAGCGACCGCACTGCAAGGGGCCTGGCAGCCACCGGCACCATTCGCTTTGTGCCAAAACCCTTCCGCTCACCAGACCTTCTCTGGGCTTTTTTTTTTTTTTAGATTGTTTTCAAAACAGATTTCATGTGGTCCCAAAATGAGACCATGATTGTAAATTAAAGTGTAATTAGCCTTTATGCTTTTATATTCATTAACTCTTCTCTGTTAATGATGCAGAGGCTGAAGCACAAACCCAGCATTATGAAACCACATCCAGGAAATAAAATAGTGATTTAGATAATGGCCAGAATGTATTGCTACTTACACATAATTAAACAAATGCTCAATTTACACTTGGAAACATGAATGAATGTTGATTAACCCCAGCCCAATGACTCTGCTGGCACCGTGGTTAAGTGGCTGCGCTGGCAGTGGGGCTGGCAGTGGTGACAGGGCAGGGTGGGCACCCGCTGCCCGCAGAGCACCTGCCCGGCCCAGGTGTCACCGCGACGCTGAACCAGCCCAGCCCCGTGCCCACGGCTGCCTGGGCCCCTCGGGCTCTGTGGGCCGTGCCACATGGGTGCTGCCACGAGCACCGGGGTTGCTGCCATGAAGGGGCTGCGTCCAACTCCTCAGAGACAGAGTAGATGCTGCACCCCTGCCCACGGGGCTGAGGAGCCATCACCTCTGCTCCCGGCTGAGCAGTACCATGTGCCAGAGGGGTGCACCGTGAGCCGTGGGCTGTGGGCTCTGCCTGCCAGTCCCATATAGGCTTTGTCTCCCGTCCCCCTGTGCCTGCTGCCCTCCAAATGTGCCAGTTACTATGGAGACATCGCCTCATTAGCACAGGAGGAGCCTGACAAAGTCCACTCGCGCAGGATAACGGTGTTTCCTGCTGCAAATCTGGACCTGCTACAGATCAGAGCCTGGGCAGGGGAAGAGGTCCCAGGCCCCCAGCTCTGGGCTCCGCACCCAATGCCATAGCTGTGCCGAAAGCAGGGGCTCCTGTGCTCCCTGTCCTGGCCACCCAGCCATAAGGTGAGCCCGAGGAACAGAGCTGTTCTCAGGGATGGCTCTGGCCCCACAAAGGTGATACTGCCCTCTAAGCCAGAGTCCAGGTCGTGCTGGGCATAGGAGACCCCTGCACACACCCCAAAGGAGCTGTGACTGCCCCCAGACCAGCCCCAGGCTGCACTGCAGCATTGCAGGGGGGAGCTGGCAGCATCCCACTCCTCCCACCCCAAATTTGCCTGGGTGAGGACAGGAGGTATGTGACAGTGCTGACATGGCTGTGGAGACCTCTGCTCCCAGGGACTTCCGTTCATGGATCGTTGACTCAACAGGCCATAATGGCTCCATCCATCGGGGTCAATACGTGCGCCTTTGACACATGATAGACAATAATTGCTCCTGCTTAGAGACTTTTTAGTTCATGGATCATTGACCTGATGGGCTGTAACAGCTCTGAAGGAGGCTGCACACCCCTGTGCTTAAATACCCTCAGGAACCAGCAGCTGCGTAAAACCATGGCACGGTGCTGTGGAAACACACTCTCCCCAAAAACACACTGCCCAGCACAGGCTGCCAAAGGCCCTGGGGGCCCTGGAAGCCCTCCTGGCAGCGTGGCCATGGCCGAGGCCATAGCAGGAGGCACAGAGCCCAGGAGGAAAGGCCAGGCTCGTCCCAGCATCCCTCAAAAGCACCAGGGACAGGACCAGGGTGCACAGGGACAGGTTCACCTCCCGAGGTCTGCAGGCTGGAGCTCCCCTCTCCAACAGCAACTTCCAGGTATATGATTTAATGAAAGGCACAATAAGAAGTGAAACAATTAGAATTTCTGCCTCATTATCATGGTAATCTTATCAGTCGGATAATGAGGTATTAATGGAGATTTAATGTGCCTCTCATAACAGAATCCCTTGGAGAAAACACATAAGGAAATTGCTGTAAATCCACTTAATGATGGAAAGGTCCCCAAACACCATATTCCAGAGGATGAAAAATGCTGGATGCAAATGAGAGAGAATCAAGGTCAATAACACTGCAGGGACCAGCGCTGCACTGCCGCCACGCAGCCGCCGGACCCGCCGCTTCACCCACCCGCCCCGAATGGGACCCGGGTGGCTGCTGAGATCCAACCGCCACGAGCAGCCGAGCTGCAGGATTAAAAGCACAAACGTAACTGAAAAGCTCTGGATCTCGTTCCGTTATCGCCGCTGTCCACTCCCAGCGAGCTGTCCGTGGGCACGTGAAAAAAGCTCTGAGGATACAACAAGGCTGCGATGCTGAACGGGAACCATGCAGTGAGTGGTAAGAGGCTCGCACTCGCCCTGCCCTCGCCAGCACAACTGCTGATCCCAGTGGAACGAGGCAAAAACATGAAAGCCAGGCCGTTAAACTGCTCTCCTTTTAATCAGTTTTTACAGAATAATACATTAATAATCACGTTAGAGACAAGATGGGTTTCCTGTATACAAGATTGTGCAAGCTCATTAATTTAGATTTATAAAGGCTTCACCAGGTTCAAAGAGGAGAGGCAGTACAAAGCTTTTAAACAGAGGTAAAGCACAATTAAAAGGTACAGAACACACACTACTAACTCAGCAGAGCTTAACTCCCAAGTCGCACAGGCTCAACCAAGTCACCGGCTGTTACCACACAGGAGCACCCGAGCCCTCCTTGCGCACAGCTCTCCCACCAGGCGGACGGGCTGAGCCATGCTCCTGCCTCCTCCGCTGCTGCCCCTCTAACCCCACTGCGCCCCTCCTGACCCCTTCCTCCACGAGCTGCTCAGCACGAACGCAGCAGCGACTTCTCACACTTCTGTAAGACTTTGGCTTAACGGAACGTTAACATTTTCAAGCGATACGAACCAACACTGTGCTCACCAGAAACTCACCCACAGGAAACAGGATCACGTTCGTGGCTTTTTTTCCTGAAATTTATGGCAGTTACATTCAGCATTTGGTAGTATAAGGTCTTCAAAACAAAAACTTTTAAACTCAAGTACTTAATAGGCCATACACGCTCCAATTCCCCCTAATGAGAATTTTAAAAAGTTTTAAAGAGAAACCTCATTTAAGGATAGGAGCAAAAAGGAATCTCTGAGGGATGAAAAGCCAGCCCTTTCCTTCCACTCCTCTACCCAAAAAGGAAACCACCACCTCTGCGGCGTTAACAGGCACGGCCATGCCATCGTTCACCCTGCAGGCTCTCCAGACGTGCCAACAACCAGTGCCTCAAGTCCACAACTGCAACCTGCTGCCAACGGCCTCTCCCCTTTCCAGAATGTCCCACTCCCCCTCCAGCGATGGAGTAACTGAATTAACAGAAAGCACCAAGTTGACACCAACAGCCCCATGGCTGGCGCCGACTGGCAGCAGTTCTGTTACTTTTGATCCTTTATGCACCATCTTCTCACCTTTGCTATTGCACACCAAACCTAACAACATCACTTCCTACACAGGTCATTTGTCATTTTAAAACAAAATGTTACGGGACACCAGGGGAAAACAGTAAGAGAACATTACAGGGAAGTTTTTAATTCTTTGGGAAGCCTAATCCTCTAACTACACGTATCAAGACTACATAAAGGACTTTCAGAGCAGGTTGAAAAAAAGAAGCGAAGGACCATCTTGCTATGAAGCCTCTCAACTCATCTGGGGCTCATTGACACGCTTACTGGTTTAAAAATAACTAAATAATAATAATAATAATAAAAAAGACTCCAGTTCTTTTAAGTATTTTTCTACACAGAAGAACAAAGTGATAAAAATTGTGACGGAAATGCTTCTTGCCCCTTCCACGAAGGAGAGCAAGTGTGAAAGAGCTGATGGTGCCGATCCAATCCTGCTCACCACGTCTGCGCTGGGTCATCACCAACTTCAGTGTCTCTGTGCCTTTAAGGTTTGTACAAATACTCTCTCCCCGACTCAAACCCAAACTGCAGGACTGGAAGAGCTTTCAGACATCAGCCTTAACATCTCAGCTATTCAAGTAATAATTAAATATTACAGGACACTTCAATATAAATAAATTTATATTGCTTTTAGATATGATCTGGCCATATCTTCAAGGGCGTATTTGTGCTTCGTTGCTGAGTGTTATTGGTCAGGGCTGTGCTTGCAATATTAAGTTACATGTTCAGCACCAAAAACCCATCAAGGCTAACTAGAGTATTGCAGTGCTACACAGACCGAGCTACCACAGTAAGGCAGATCAGAAGAATTCTGTTTCTACTGAGTACGGCTCCTCCACACAATCAAGTCCTTAATAGAGGAGAAAGACTATAAATAAAAGAGTTACCATCCCACCCTCTCACCTGTGATTAGTTCAGCAAAAATGCTATACTGAATTACATATTAGAGTCCTAGAAAGTAGGTTTCTTTAATAATGCTTTGACAAGTAGCACAGCCAAATCAAGCACTCGATATTTTACATAATTGCTCTAATTTCAGTTAACCAAATTATTTTCCCCAAGTACTAGTTGCTTACAGGTTTTAATCATCAAAATGCACACACAGACAAAAATTAAAAATCAATCATATTTTGAAAAGAAAGCAAGAAGTATTTCATTTCCTTTACCACTCAGAGACACCAAGTCCTAACACATCCCTTTGTCAGAAGTGCAATGAACACTGGGAAGAGCAAGAAATAATACTGACACGGAAAAGTTCACTGCTCGCTGCCCTTTTCCACTGTGGTTCCAGCTCAAAAAGACCCGCGAGCGATTATACACTTACAGATAATGAGGACTGGCCAGCACCCAGACCGTTCCACTCACGAAAACCCAGGTGGTGGCGTGCATAAAAACTTCCTTAGATCAGTAATTGTCAGTTGAAGGGAAAGGTGGGGTGAGAAATCTATAAAACACCCTGAACTGATGTCATGATATGTTTCATAAAGAACAGTGTTATATTTTAAAATATTTTATATGAACAGTAAAACTTGCACTGCTGCATAGCAGACAACACGAAGAACATTTAGTAAAAACATTCACTGAAACCCCTGGCATATGTATTTAATGTCACTAATCAAAATATATATTACAGTCCAAGATTCTGTTAGGATCTCTGTTTGGGGTTTGTACAGTATACACAATATTTCAGAAAAAAATATTACAGTAAGGTACTTTATTTCTCCTTTTCTTATATTAGACTTATCTATTGTAACTTACAGTCCCTCTCCTCTATATATCCAAACCCTTGTAACGCCCTAATGCCCTAGCCAAAAAGTGTTTAACTAATAAGCCCTGTCTACTATAAATTCCAGTTTTAGAAATTTCAGTAATCTTAATTACATTTTAATAAATAGTTCAGTTTGCCCTTTTTTAATCTTAGCCTTTCAAGGAAGTCCTTTCACTACCGAAACACAGTGTGTCACAACCTGTTAGAGGTCAGAGAGGCTTTTGCTCGTGTATTCAAAGGATAATGAGTCCAAAGATAATTGCAATGCATTAAATATAGTTATATAATATTTACACTGTCCTCTCAGATTTTAAATTTAGGTGAGATACAACTGATAACTAATGTCAACTACTACAAACTTTCAGTGTGGCTGGTGTTTTATCAATAAAAGGTGTATTAAGCTAGAAAGTATACTAAGTGGTTGCCCTGATTCTTCTTGTTTCAGTTTTCTATTAGAAATTAAATGAAGTGAATCATTCACGTGGGTAAGAATTCAAGAAAGGTGGTGGAAAAAAGCAATGGAGAATTTTCTGTGTGTTTTGAGATTCCAAAATACCTGAAAACTGTGGTCCCTTTTGCAGTGCCAGTATCTATAGGGGAGAAAAACACAACCAAAAGAGAAGAGGAAAATCTGTTAAATTAATTTGATTAGTAAAGGTGTGTTTTAAAATGCCTCAATTCTGTACAGTATTATACAAGGAAAGTCTCTTCAGCTTTTGCAGCTGTTGTACATTCTTATATACTCTTCTTCTGCTGACACACAGTCTGCCCATACACGTGCCAACTGAGCTACTTGCGATCATCAATTGTTTTAATGAATTCAACCGCTGCTGTGAACTGCATCCACCAGTACGACTCTTCTCCAGATAAACAGCTGGCATAGAAACTACTGATGTACTGAACAGTGGACAGCAAGCAAGGTGGATTTGCCTGAGGGGTAAAGAAGAAAGAGACACTCACAGGTTGTTTGCAAAGCAAACATAAAACACTACCAGATACAGAACAGAAGATACAGTGATCCTCACACATTCGCAACACGTGACAATACAACCTATCTCTAGGGTAGTGAGCCTTATCCAGACCACCCCCTTACGCACACAAGGTCTCAGACTTGACGAAAGGAGCCTTTTCCAACAGGGAAAAACCACTCAGAGGCCAAGAGAAAGAAGGGCAGGATCTGTAAAAGCCACCAAGGCTTTCAGCAGACGAAGAAGCCTACTGTTAGCCAATCCTGTACATGGCAGAGCATTCTCCAAACACTCCTGTGTCAGAAGAAGTAAGCAACAGAATGCTAGCCAGTCCTGATCTGGATCTCGATCCCAAAAGAAGACAACATTAAGCAGGCACAGATGACAGATGCTGGTGCACACATGAGGAGAAAAAAACACAAAAAAACCTCACTCCACCCACAACGCCCACATCCCTATTTGGTTCCAAATGCAAAGCCTGTTTGGATTCAAAAATCGTAACTGTGACCACGTTTCTGATGTTTCTGTTTAAACCTGCTGAATTGGATCTGGTTTTGAGTCTAGCATGCTCCCAGTTACCCAAATGCATTCTTTATCTCCTTAAAAATCCTTAAAATTTGCTTATTTATTACAAGAATTAGCTGGGGCTTGTGATCTCTGCAAAAGAACTCACCTTTATGAGGACAAATACCAGAACAGGAACAAAATCATCTGCCCCAGGCACTGAATCTTCATTTGCCAGACTAAGCAGGTTCATGATGGTTGAACACATTCGCAGGATACACTGCACTTTGTCTCGGGGGGTTTTATAAGCGCTTATCGTGCGGATTTCAGACTGTGCAGATGGCCATGGTGCCTCCCGGAGATACACCTAGGAAAACAAACCACAAACCACCATGCGACCAGTGCTACTCCTGTGCACCCCAGAGGATCTGAAGTACCAGAGAGCGGCAGGCAGGAGCCAGGCTCCAGGGAAATGGGAAGTTTTAAGTCAAGGTGCTTACATTACACCCACAAGGAAGGTGGCTTCCTGCTGTGCTGTAATAAAAAAACTACAAGGAGCCACACTCTATGTGCAACTAACCTAATTAGCTGTGCTAATTCCTGCTGTCTCCTGTATGCCGCTCCAAGCGAAGGCAGAGCTGTATGTCTCAGTCCCTACATAAGCAGCTTTATGAACACTCACTGCTTTGAGTCATCCAGTTCAAGCACTGACTTGAGAACTGGGAAGGCTGCAAACATTCAGCCCCTGACAGACTTCTTAAGCCTACCAACCTGCTTTTAGTTATCCTATTAACCATGACAAAAGTGAAAGCACTGGGCAAATTCACAGATCTCTAAAGGCTCCATTAAAGCTGGCTAGTTCTGAAAGTTAACATGACAGCTGTAAACCACAGCCATGGCATATGAATCACATTAGAAGCAAAAAGGATTCAAATATTGGTTTTTTGAAGCAAATTATCAGAAAGTTACTGCATCTTAGTGCAGTGTAGCATTAGTTCTTAAATCTTACTGTCAGGACAGAGGTGTCAAAATCGGGACAAAAATTTATTTGGAAGGATCAGCCAGTGGAAGATGCCAAAGCATGGGTACAGCATGTTTTTCCTGCAGGGTATTTTAGCTGTCACAGATAGAAAAGCAATGCTTCTAAGTGTAAAACAGAACAATCCTCTCCCCATCCTGAACACGGTCAAAACCAAGCACCCTGACACACACACAAAAGTGATGGAAAGCAGACGCTCTTACCTCAGGTATCTGAAGGGCTTTATGGTTTGCAGTCACTACTTTCGACAACCTCTGTATGTGCTCATGAAGGACCCTGAAAACAAACACAAAACACAAGAGTGAAAAGAAAGCAGCAGCTGGCAGTCCTCTGGCGTTTCCCACTAGTTTTAAGTTTGATACTACACGAGAGATCTTCAGGAACGCGTATAATCATGATGGGCCTAGAGCTAACGGACGCTAGGTCAGCAAGAGATGCAGAGGATTTTGCCATATAATCGAGTATGGCCAGACAGACAGTAGAGCATTCAAACAGTGCATGTTCTAAAACACAAACCCCAAAAAGCCCAAATGCATGGAAAATACTGCATCAAAACAGAAAATGGAAGGAGCGAGTCCTGAAGCAGGGTTTTCTCACTCTCAGCATACACGCTTGCAGATCTGAAAGTCAGCATCCCAAGTCAATACATTATATTTGATTGTGTTCCAGCAGTTCGTTGCAAAAAAACTTCTGCACACGATGCTAAAGCTCTATCCTTGCTCTTTTCCAAAAATTCTGAGAAAACCTACGAGTTTGTATGGCATGGCTGTCACATGAAGACCACACAGCTTCCATCTGCACCAACTGCAAAAGAGAAACCAGGTACTTCAAATGGCATTAACTTACTGGTCACGCAAAATATCTCCGTCCTGATTAGGGTAGAACGCAAGTTTGAAAATACGATTCATCACACTGCGTTCTATAGCCAACTGTGCATCCTGAAGCTGTTCTTCGCTGGCATTCTGCCATATGGCATCCTGAGCCATAGCCCCGTATAAAAACTGAAGAAAATCCTCCACTTGGGCTGTTTTATCATCTGCTGCTGTGAGTTTCTGGAAATCTGATCAAAAGTAAAAAGAGAGAGAACACTCAATTAAGTAAAAAACACTATTTCTGATGCATTCTGCTGGAAAGAAGAGCGCAGAATCTACTTCAGAATTCTGGCCAGGCAGCACTGAGGCTCAGCTTTGCCCACGCCCCATTAAGAGAAATACAAGCAGGAATCCTCAAAATAAATGAAGAAACTAAAGGAAAAGCACACAGAAGACATTTAGCAAAGCATATGGTCCAAATGCTCTACTTGATATTGTGTTAATCACTTCCTCTGCAGTACCAGTCCTTATGCCTTCTTTCCAGACACCCACAGACAACACCCAGAACAATCACTACGAGAGGCGCTGGTAGGAGCTTGTCAGATGCTGAGACGGGGGAGGACGGGGATGCGGGGAAAGATGGGAAGAAAACCCATGAGTACCATTTCCTACCCCTGCCTTTATTAAGTATGCACAGTCGCATAGTTGCAACGTTCAGAGTTATCTACAAAACACAGAACGAGCGGTGCAGCCAAGTTAACACAGCATGACCAAATCACTGGCCATTCATTGGCTTCATATTTATAGCACTCTGCACCAGAAGACAACTGCCACTCACATCTGCCAGCAGCCTGAATGCCACGGTTGCCAATTTCTCTTTTAGATCATGCAGAAATAGCTGTCTCCTTTCTGCCCAATGAAAGGGCTTTAACTCCTTCCTGGGTCACCAAATCTTATTACCAGAACTTTAATCCTAGTAGATATAAGTTCTCACATTAATTCCAGTCTATTAAGGCACATTTAATATGCAGCACTATACGCTCCAGAAGCAAGAACTGACTCCAAATTTCTTATGTACTTCATTAAGTCAGGTATGTCCATAGAGAACATAGACACAGTTTGTTCTAAGTGACTCTATTTTGAGAGAGTTGTCTTCATGGTGGTGATATCCCTTACACTATATTTTTCAATCTTTGATTCATTTGATTCATACTATTACTATTCCTCGTAACTTCCAAGGTAAAACCACAGGTTCTGTACTGAGGACTGAATGCTGCAACTTAATTTATCATTTATCATTAGATCTCAAATAATGAATAATATTCATGCTTCTTCCATAGGGCAGATGCCAGATAATATGATTTAGCGTAACTTTTTAGGCCAAGTGAGGTAATGCAGTTACAGCTCAGCTGCCACAATGTAACAGTTAAGTCACATTAATCTGCCTATTTGAGTCACTAATTCAGCAGCTGAAGTGAAAACCATTCTAGGAACCTGCTCCTCAGATCAGAAGTTGTATTTTAAAACATTAACCCAATCCAGCATCTAAATATGGAGTATAGGAATAGAAACACTTCAGAGTCTGCACTAATCTTACCTTGAATAAACTCCCTTATTTTCTTCTCTTTGCTCTCCAGCAGTAACCTCACACACACTGTGGTGAAGTATCTGTTGGCCACCTCTTTATCTCGCAGAACTCTTTGCAACAGCCTTTCCAAGTGCGCTTGTGTCGATTGCAGGCCTTGGCGACATCGAGTTAAATAAGCGATATATGGAGCCCTTTTCCTAAAATAGAGTGTGCTCCACATTAGATTCACAGTAAAGATAGAGGCTTTTTAAACTTCTAAGTTGTAGTGCAAGAAGTATCTTCAACCTGTTGGTTTTTTTTTAAACCAAGGTAACACCTGAATTCAGAAGTTTCGTCCTACACAGATTTCTCTGACTGAATTCACTGCCCTTGCAGCACTCCAGAAGGCAAGACTAAAGCAAATTCCTAACAGCATCTCTTTGTGTGTTAGAGTGAACATTATCCACAAATTGATTTAACCCAAGTTTATTATCATCGTGACTGACTTAAATGCCCAAGCTTTTTTAAGCCATTCGCAGATAGGCAAGACAATTTCATCATTTTGTGGGGAAGCAGAGATGTAATAACCTGACTTGGTAAAGTACAATTTAAACCAAAAGAGATCTTCCCAGTCTGCTAGTGAATAAATATATGCATTTGGCAACCCATTAATAAGATACTGAACAAAATACCTGTAGTCCTCCGCAATAGATGCCAGCAGCTTTCGACAGGTCCTGTTATCAAAGCGGCTCACACATCGCATTGTCTCCTGCAGCTGGGCCATCAAGTTCTTGTCCTGCAGGTTAATAGCTTCAGCTAGCTGAACTTTCAAGAAGCACACAATTTCATTATCTAATAAAGAAAACAGGAAAATGGTTAAGGAAAATACATGTAGGCATGATGAAAATAAAACTGGTTTTGAATTTGTGGAACACATAACAGTTTAAAATAAAACTTCTGTACATTAGGCAATTAGTGTTATTTTAAGAACAATTCAATAAGACTTTCTGGATTTTCCAGATATCATGGGATAAGTTTTCATATCACTATCACTGGTATTTAGAACCAGTCTGAAACGTGAAGAGGACCAGGTAAGGTGACAGTACATGTAGTTTGGAAGTCTGTTCTACAGTTTCAGGCTCTGCCTGCACTGTATCTCAGACATTTCATTATGAAAAAAAATAGACCAGATTTAGCTGGCAGGTTTGTTTGTGGAGTAAGAAAGAAAATAATCTGAGGGACAAAAGGTGGCTTATGCATTCTACATCTATGCCAAACAGAAGTTACCATAAATGGTGCAGTACAAGTGCCATTAGATGAGGGAAATGAAGAGACACAATACAAGATATGTCTGTATAAAGAACATTTACCTTCAGGGTCTGTGTGATCTGGTAGACCATTCCTTGTTGAATGTGTCAACATCGGGAAGGCAACAGAATCTGCTGAACAAAGAGCCAATCTCAATTTCTTCTTTGCATCCCTTAAAGAGGAAAAATATTTTCTTAAAGTTGCTGCAGGGTCTGCTTCTTCAGCAAGCAGTCTTTACTTGTCATGGGTTTGGTTTTTTTTTAAAGATCGACTAAAAGTTATTTAATAAAATTTTAAATACACCAATGCTGTCAAGACTTTAGCGTATCAGTTCAACTGATATAGCACCTAGACCAGTTTCAAAGGAATTTATGCCTAAACACTGCACTGCTCTGTCCTCTCAGGTTAAAATATCCTCCTTCATCAGTGGAAATACGACAGTTTGAGATGCCTAAAACTAAAAGCACATAGGAGTTTACATTAATCCTAATTAAGACTTTTGTGGGACCCAATCACACGGATTCAGCTTTTAATTCTGCTTTGTGGGAAAGATTAAACCTGAAAATGTATTTACCTATAGGAGAAAGCAGAACTCTGTGGCTGCGCTACTTGACTTGCAGAGTCTGGGAGATCATCCGCAGACATGTTTTGCAAAGCCTCATCACGTGGAGAGTCATGCATGCTCTCACCATCCCCAATAGCCTCTACGGAAAGGAGGGAAAAACAACATTACATGTGAAGAGAAGAGTCAGAAGAAGAAAACAGACTAATATTCTCTACTTCCTTCCTGTTAGTCTAAGGTGTGGGGGGGAACAAAGACAGCAAATAAAACAACTTGTTCTGAATAAATGACAAAAGTATATTAAAAATCTACAATCTACTAGTCCATAAGAAGAAACTGCATCAGTTTTGGAAGGCAAAATACTTCTCCAGTATCCATTAAAAAAACTCAACAAACAAACAAACACACACACACAAAAACTGGTAAGAGATGCATGATTAACAACCAACCAACTCAATGGCAATATGAAAGAGCTGTCTTTGGGAATATTGATTTAACTCCCAGTCTCTCATAGTATCACAACATGTTCCTGGTTTAGAGCTCATGTTGCTCAGCTGTTAGTGCTAACATTGGTCTAGAATACTGAAGCAGTTTTATCTTTAAGGAGGAGAAACTATGCTGGTGATGCTTATAAAAGCCAGGTTCTCACCTGCACCATCATAGTTTACTATAGCTCCTTCACTGGGACTGGTTCTCTTAATTGCATTCCTGTACTTGTCTAGAATGTCCTCTGCAGCTTGTGCCTGCGCACTGAGCCTTGGGTTGGGATCATCTGGAAAAAAACCAATTTAAGACAACAGGAGTTAACTGTGCGTTGTGCCAACTGAAAGCAAATATAAATATTCAGACATGTACATTTGGACTCTGTTTTTGGCCACATCAAACTAATAGCTGCTTGTGTTCCATGTAGCCACAACTCAAACATATTTATAAAGTCTGAAGCAAAAGCAGGAGAAAACCCAAGTACAATGAAAGTGAACAAACAAAGCCAGATCCTTAGCATATTTATACTGTTTACACAAAGGGTTCTTGTATATTTGAAGACTTCTAGAAATTATTAGGCAAATAGAAAATTTAACGCCCAGGTTCAAATTATGTTTAATTTAGCACTTAAGTAATTATTACTGGAACGTGTCTGCAGCTATCCTCACAGCTCAGCTATGATAAGGACACGAGCTTTGTAATGAGAAGGAAATAAAAAAAACCAAAATTCAAGACTGAGTCGAGAATCCAGCACTATGCATGTTGACAGAAGCATGACAATTTAAAAACAGTCTTCAAGGCAAGAAGTCTTTATTCAGTTTCTTATACAGAAAGCCAGCTGTGAACATTAACTACAATAGCGTACACCTTTCTGTAAGTAGATGCCTGGTGGGCACTCTGGAACTCTAGAGGGCCTATTATGAGAGCAAATTACTATGATGATATTATTCACATACCTTGAAGTATGGGGTATCTGTCAGGCACCATGTCATCTTTGTCCTTTTCTTGTTTTTCTTTCTTTCTAAATGGAATAGGTGCTGAATAACACAAGGTATCTTATCAAAGACTATTCGGAGATAATGGCCACATTGAAGAAACTTTAAGAAAGTGGCTAATGTAAAAGTTTGCCATCAAATAAACGTCAATAAAACCACAAGCCTATCTATAGGAAGGAGCAGAACTGTACTGAGAGCGTATGCAGTAATCTGTGCCTTTAACTCATGTGCTACCATGAGCCACGCAGAACAGTTCTGCCTTCCAGGTACAGTGTGCTCTAGGCAACTACTAGCCAAAGGATTCAGGTAGCTTCTCATTTTTATTTATACATTTATTTATATTTTAGTATATAAAGACATATATTTTCATAAAAGTGACCAAAGATATAACAAAGGCAGCATGCACTCTTACTGAAGCACAAAAACCAGACAGACGTGATTCTACCTTTGGGCATGGCAGACACAAAGCGTTTCCTCCACCAGGGCTTGTTTCTGTCAGACTTCTCATCATCACTGTCTTTTCGTTCTTCAATCTGTAGAAGGGCAGAGTCTACATTTGAGCATCTACCATTTCAAACGTAAAGACAAAATTTCTCCTTGATATCAGCTTACGCTAAATCGTCTGTAAAAGCAGAACTACAGCAGAGCACAGAAAGCCGTAACAGAGTAAGTTAGCAATGTCCCTCCTGCAGAGGGTAGCCTATAAATGCAAAACCAAAGACATGAAGAAACTTAGATTTCACTTGTTTCTTTTTTAAGGAACATTACTTTTCAGGATGCTGCAGCATTTTAAATTTAAACATTACAACAGATCTATTTCTGAAGTCCCACCAAATCAAGTAAAGCTCATCCACTAAATTTAAGAGAAGCCAGATTCACTTAAGCTGCCCTGAACATCTATAGCTTTAGCTTGTAAAACATTACCAGCCAACATTTAAAAGGCAACAAAAGTGCACTGTAATTCCTTGGCTAAACACATTTAGTACCAGCCTTCTGGCATTAGATGCATAAGGTAGTGCTCATGTTGAGGGGAAAAAAAATATAAATATAAATATAAATATAAATAAT